CACCACCCCCACGCTTGCTGTGGAGCTGCACGGGGCAGACTCTGACCAGCTGTCATCTATCTTCCCTGAGTCCAGAGCAAGCAAAAGAGGCTCTGCAAGCGGGGGCGGGAAGGGTGACCCCTCTGCTCAGAAAGAATAGACACATCAGTGCACCAGGCAGCCGTGGGGGGCGTGAAAGATGGTCGTCGTCCCAGGAATAACCGAGAGCCCACCGGGAAGTGGCGGCACAGGGGAGGCAAGGGGGCAGGAGAGACGCCCCGTCAGGGCAGCAGGAGGAGCCTTGAGCTGCATCCGGGTGGGATGGGGCAATGGCAGCAGCAGGACCAGGAAAGCGGCTCAAGGTCTCTGTGGGGATCCCAGCAAAGCCTCCACATGCCCGGCCCCGCCCTCCCAGAAAAAGAGCCACACTCACGGAAAGTTCGGGGAAGACAATCTGTTTATTGTCGCAATCGATCCAACCAAGAGGACGAGCTGCCGGGCTCAGGCTGCTCCAAAAGGCAGACGCATCGCACGGCCGGGCCACAGGGCACCGTGTGAGCTGCTCGCCACCACCTCACCCACCGTGTGGCCCGTGGAACCTTGAAGTCCGTCAGTAGTTGAGTTTTCCCCTCCAAGTGCACAAAGAGCAGGAAACGCCTTCCATCACTCGCCTTTCGTAAACTAACTCAAAACACTGAGAAATGATTGTTTCCCTCCCCAGCGTTGCTTTTGGGGTGGACGTAGGGAGAGGTTTGATCTGTGTATTTGTCTATACAATATGCCTACACCTATAGAGACTGTAAATGCATCAGCAGGCTTTAATAAAGAAGACGTCCGCGAGAGGCACAGCGGAGACGCGGCTGTCTGTCCTTAGAACAGAAGCAGGAAGGAGGATTTCTTGATTCATCATCCGTTCCAACTGCCCGGGCCACTCCCGTGGCCAGGGCTGTCCTCTGGGCCCGGCCAGCATTTGTGATTGTCCATCTGCTTGCCCTGGCCTCCGAAGCACTGCGGCCCAGCCCTCCCCTGGTGACCGATGGAGAGCGGGTGGGATCAGTCCACACCTAGGGCAGCGGATACATCCAAAGCCAGTTCCAAGGCCCCGAGAGGCGTGTCAGCCGGAATGATTGTGCTTGGTTCTTTAAGCTAAGTCCCGTCGGCCAGCCCTTCTCTGCCTATGACAGCCCTTCATGAGGGAGAAGAGACAGCTGGGGGTTCAGAGAGCAGGAAAGGGGGCAGTGGAGAAACCAGCAGCCTAACCCCAGCAGCGCGCAGGGAGGGGACATGCAGCCACAGGGGGCCTGGGGCCCCCAGAGCAGAGGAAGCAACCTGTCTCGCTGGTCTGAAGGAAAGCAAGGGGAGAGCAGAAAATCCTAAGGGGCTGGAGGATAAAGTGCTATCAGGGTGGGCGCCTGGGGCAAAGGTGGTTCCGGCCCATCCCCCTCTGCTCGGCCCTGAGGCCATGGAGAAGACTTGCCCTCCCTGGGCCCCCAGACATCTTGGGCTACGTTATGGGGAGTTGGGATTTCTTAGAATAAACCCCGGGAATCTGACAATCGTTCTCCGGAATGTGATGAGTCCTGGAAAAGGGGAAGTTCCGGCCCAGCACAGATCCTCACTCATCCAGGAGGGGGGCCTTGAGAGGTGGCAGAAAGCGACGTCTGCGGGCTGAAGAAGCATCCCACCACCCCCGGTCCCAGTGGCACCAGGCGCCCACCCACCTCTCCCCTCTCGGCTGGTTGGCTTGAAAGATGGGCCATGCCGCCTGCCCGGGCCTTCTGGTGGCTTAGCCACCCCATTGGCAGTGTGTTGATTGGCAGTTAGGTACTGAGCAGAAGAGTTGGAATTTCCCGGTGGGCTGGACCCACCCCACCCAGGACGCACCGGGCTGGTGGCCCACACCCCCTGTGCCTGGCCCCCAGCCCCCTTCCCTGGACTCTCTTCCTTCTTCCCTAACTCCAGCGCTGGCAGCGGCGGCTGCACAAATGGAATTAGATGCCCCACAACAATTAACCTTGCCCCCCACCCCCACCCGTGCTGGCCTGGCGGCTCCCAGCTCCGTATGGCTTTGTGTACAACACCAGCACCTACACAGGCCTGGCACACGGCAGATACTCAGTAAACAGATGTTAAATGGAAGTGAATTAAACTGAGCCTCCCAGACGCTCACTCTCCTGATTGGCCATCTGACGGGCAGAGGCAGAGAGTGGTCCCTGAGACTGTCACTGTCCTGTCCCCACCCCTCCCCCAGGCTCCTTCCCGCCCTGAGCTCTGCCTCCCTGAGTCTGTGCAGGACCTGGGCTCCCGGACCCCAGGAGGAGGCCCACCTGGGGCAGGGGAGGGGCATGCCTGCGGCTCTGTCCTCATTCCCACACCCCACCCCTGCAGCGAGCATCCTCCCACCCCTGCCGAGGCCATCACCCCACCCCTGCTGCGGGCATCCCCCCACCCCGCCACAGGCATCCCCTCTCGGGGAGGAGCAGGGCACCCCCTCCCCTCCTCTCCACCAGGACAACTATGGCTGTTCATTCAAACTGGAGGCTGACGGCCAGAGGAGGTGCCAGGGCCCTCACTCTGTCCCCCTGAGCCTCGGTTTCCCCGTGTGCAGTAGGAGTGATGTGGCTCGTTGGCCTCTGAGGGTCTCCCAAGGCCTCTCACCTCGTCTCCCTCTCCTGAGATTCCCCTCAATGTGAGTGACGTGGAGGGAGATTGGCTCCCACAAACGCCCCTTCTTCCCCACGGAGCCACTGAGGGAGGTGTAGCCCAGCTCTAGACCGGACACGGCCATGGCCGGGGGCTCCCCTCACGCCTCCCTCAGGCCTTCCCTTTGTGCTCCAGTCGAGCCAGAGGAAAACTGCTGGGGGCCTGGGCTGGGCTGCTGAGGCCTGTCCCTCACCCTGCGCCCTAGGCCCAGCTCACTGGCGCCCCCTCCCTGTCCCTCCGCTCATTGACATGTGCCTCCTGCTGGTGGGCACTCTGGTGGCAGGAAATGACCACCACCTGGAGCACACGCCCGCCCGTGACCGTGACAGACCGTGACCAGCTCCTGGCCCTTCCGTACTGTTCTCACCAAAACCCCCAGCATCACAGCCAACAAACCACCCGTTTCAGAGTTCATCCACGGAGGAGAGGGCGGAGCTGGGCGCCCGACCATCATCTCCACTCGCCTCCATCTCAGCTTTCCTTTGATGCCCTTGCTCGTGCCCACCCCGGTCTCCAGGAGCCCATCAGCACCCAGCCTGCAGGGCTGCCCGCAGGAGCACGCAACTCAGGGAAGCCCTGCCACCCACAGGTGCCTCTGAAGCTGCCCCCAGATGAGTCCCGTGAGAGCAGGCAGACCGCCTGACCCCTCCTACACCCCCCCTCTGGGGCGCTCACATGGCCTCCCCTCCACTCAGGGGCAGCGGGACCCCTTCTCCCTCCTCCAGGGCCCTCACATCCCATTCTCCACGGTGGGCTTCTCCCATGAGAGAGGGGGGTGACTGGTGCAGTGGGGGGTACAGTGAGGGGTTGGGAGGCGCAGGCCGGCCCTGGGACCTGGCCCAAGAGAAGCGCACACCGAGGCGGGGGGCACACTGTACAGGGGAGCGGGGGCGGGGATGGGCGCGGGGCCACCGGCCGCCGCTACTTGGCACCGTCCTCAGCGTGGCCCTCGCCGTCCGTCTTGCCCTCCTCCTCCGTCTTCAGGTCATCGGTGCTCAGCTTCTGCTCCTTTTTCCTCCTCACACACTTCACAACCATCAGCACCAAGATGACCACGGCCAGTAAGCCTCCGACCGAGGCGCCCACGACCACGGCCACCGTGGAGTCCCGCTCAGGGGGCTCTGGGGAAGAACAGGAGACAGACGCTGAGGGCCAGGCTGCAAGGGAGCTGCCCTCTGTCCCCTGCTCCCAGGGTGCGGGCCGTCCCAACGCTCCTCTCGCCCGTGGGCAGAACTGGAGTCAGAGCCTAATCCGCCCAGGCCATTGGCCCCTGAGCCCCACCCAGGGCCGCAGAAGGAGGCGGGAGGGGAGGGCATGGACTTGGAGGTCAAGCCGACCCAGTGGGAGCCCTGGCTGTATCTGTGGAGAGCTGATCTCAGATGACTTCCTCTCCGCCTCTCTGCCTCTGAGCTTATAAAACAGCAGCTCCTCCCTAAGGCCTCCTGAGGGTGAACAGCGGCTGCAGCTAGAGTTCCGTCCTGGACCTGAGACACATCAAGTCCCAGTCGGTGGAAACTGCTAGAAGGATTCTGAAGATCCTGATCCTGATTGACAGCATCATAAGGACTCTCAGAGTCACGCTCCCAGGTCCCTAAGGACCGGAGGGAAGAGAGCAGGTGCTGGGACCACCCTCAGCTGCGGCTCCCCAGCCCGCCCCCGCAGGACAGACTCCCAGGGCCTCCCCTGGGCAGCAGGTGAGAGTAACGGCCAGGACCAGCTAGGGGCCTGCAGCCCCGCGCCCTCGCCGCTCACTGCCCTCCCCACTCACCACCCCCGCCGCTCACCCTCCATGAGGACCCGCAGCTGGATCCTGCCGTGGCCACGGTGGCGGTCGGGCGGGTTCAGGATGTAGCAGCTGTAGAGGCCCTCGTCCTCCGGCTGCACGTTCCGCAGCGTCACGGACACGTCATACTTGCTGGGGTTCCCCGAGAACTCCACGCGGTCCCGGAACCGCTCCAGCTTCAGGTTGATGATCTTCATGCGGAACTGGAGGAACTGGGGGTGGCGAGAGGCAGGCTGAGGGGGTGGCAAGCCCTGGCGAGCCGGTGCCTCCCCGCAGCCTTCTTACTTGGAGGCAGGCCCTTACCTCCAGACCTTCACCCCTCCCCGGGCCCGGCAGGACAGCACACCTTCCGCCCCAGCAGCTGCCCCAGGTCCCGTCCAGGCAGGGCAGGGACTCCACACCCACCAGACTCACCATCTCCTCCGAGCAGTTGCTGCACTCCTGGTAGGTCCAGTTCAGGGAGAAGTGCTTGTGGTTCACGGTGTAGCAGGAGTTGAAGGTGCAGGCCAGGCGGGCGTCGGAGCCATTGAGCACATTGAGGGTGGTGGGCACCGTGACTTCCATGCTGCGCCCTGGCGGCACTGCGGGCAGAGCACACGCTGGTGAGGGCTCTGGCTGATGGGACCGGAGGGGCACGCCCGCCACCTGGTGGGAGTGGGGCTGGGAGAGGACATGCCTCCTGCACCTGGTGGGAGTGGGGCTAGGAGGGGCACGAACACTGCACCTGGTGGGAGTGGGGCTGGGAGCGGGGATGCCTCCTGCACCTGGAGGGAGTGGGGCTGGGAGCGGGGATGCCTCCTGCACCTGGTGGGAGTGGGGCTGGGAGGGAGGATGCCTCCTGCACCTGGTGGGAGTGGGGCTAGGAGGGGCACGAACACTACACCTGGTGGGAGTGGGGCTGGGAGCGGGGATGCCTCCTGCACCTGGAGGGAGTGGGGCTGGGAGCGGGGATGCCTCCTGCACCTGGTGGGAGTGGGGCTGGGAGGGGCACGCCCAGGGCATCTGGTGGGAGGGAGCAGAGCTATGCAGTGGCGTCCCTTATGGCAGAAGTAGTCAGGGGGTCAGGGAAGGGTGGGGAAGGCAAAACTCCAAAGGGGTAACCGATGTGGCCTGGGTGTAAAGTGGGGGCAGAACAAAGCTGGGGTAGAGACCAGATCCCCTGTCAGCCAGGGACAGACAAGGGACCATGCCTCTCCCAGGACAGGCAGGCAGCCCTCCGCCCGCCGCCTGCTCCCGGCCCTCGGCCCTCCGTGCTGCCTGCTCTGCTAGCTGCAGACCCTGGAGAAAAGTTTCCTTGTGCTGCCTCAGTCTCCCCTCTTATCCACTCCCAGCCACCTCCGGGGAGCGGGAGCCCTTGGGCTGAGGCCAAGCGTCCCCAGCCTGTCAGACACCTCCTGACACTTTGCACCCCAGGCACCTCACTTGCCTCACCCTGATCCTGGCCGTTTAAAATATATATTTTTATTGATTTCAGAGAAGAAGGAAGGTAGAGAGAGAGAGAGAGAAACATCAATGATGAGAGAGCCTCCTGTTTGCTCCCTACCTGGGCATGTGCCCCGACCGGGAATCGAACCATGTCCTCCTGGTTCATAGGCCGACACTCAACCACCGAGCCATGCCAGTCGGGCCTAACCCTGGCCTTAATTCTAAGGTTCTTTGCCAATATTGTCAAAACCTCATCCCCAAAGCTTGATGTATTCCTGGAGGACAAGCAGTGCCCTTCAGCGTCAGTCACTCTCACTCCTTTACGACGTTGGTAAACCACCCACTGTGCGCTGAGCCCAGCCTGGGAGACTGTGGACACCGCTTGGAGCTCGTCCTCTCGGGAGGAAATGACATGGGACTGTGCCTTTGGCTGTGAGACAGGCGACAGGTGTAAGAAATGCAGGGAGGTGGGGGTTGTCTGTGGTCGGGAAGGCTGCCCGAAGGCGTGTGGGTGCCCCCGGCTGAAGGAAGGGAGGGAGCCGCTTGACATGCTGAGGGGATCAGTTCTGAGGCAGGAAGGTCCCAGGAGCTGGAGTGAGCTTCCTGTCTCTGAGGCACCAGGAGCAGAGTGACCAAGGGGCACATGGGGAGGCTGAGGCACCAGGGTCAGGCAGGGACCGAGGCACAGGGTCCATGGGCCAGACAGGACTTAGGGTGGAATTCTTGGGGGTGAGACAGGAAGCCACAGGACTGGGAGCAGCGCCCTGGGAGCAGGGGTCTCTGTAGGAGCTACACTGACGTGGAGACCTGACCAGATGTGAGTTCAATCCCCGCCCTGCCTTCCTGCCCTCAGTCCTCTGCGAGGCCCGGGCAGGTCCCTCCCCTCCAAGCCTCATCCCCGCCCCTGAGGAACGCAGCTCCTGTTGTGGGGAAAATTAAAGAAGATGAACTGTACAGAGCACAAAGCGCAGTCTGCCGGCAAAGGGAGCTCTCAGCCCTGCTTCCCTAGACGGGGAGGGCTTTCGGACAGTCCCCTGCAGAGGGCGCCTTGGGCACGACCCCTCGGGACTGTTTTCCAAGCTGCTCTGTTGTGCAAAGCTGTGCCTTTCCCCCACCCCCGACCCCCAGCAGCCTCTGCAGCCCTCGGCTCATCCCACCCTCAGCAAGAGGACCCAAGGCGGACCTAAGACCAGGCGGTGCTCCGAGCTGCTGACCCAGGAGGTCTGAACGGAGCCCAGCTGGAGGGCTCAGCAGACACCTGCCAGGCAAGCCCAGGGGGCACGCTGACATGCTGCCTAGGGGGCATGAGCTGGGCGGCTGGGCGGACCCACCAGGAACACAGCCCAGGCCCTCACCCCACTTCATAGCCCAGAGGGAAGCGCTGGCTTGCTCCAGGCAGGGAGGAGGGCGCCCACCACGCCTCCCACCCCTGCGGAGGGGAGGAGCGCAGAGGAGCCTGGCAGCCTCCTCCTGAGCTCACCTCCCTCCCAAAAGCTCCCTGCTTCGCTGGCACCTTCCCTGGAAAGTCCCAGGCCCCCCACTCCCCACCTCCTTCCCCCGTCAAAGGAGCCCCCAAGCGACACCAGGAAGCAGGTGCTGCCAGTCTAGCTGCCCCACCCCTGGCCCCCATCCTACCCCAGCCCACAACATCAGCCCAGGAGAGCTGGAGCCCCCAGGCAGCACCTAGACGCCCAAAGAGCCAGGGCCTTGCTGTGTAGGAGGGCAGGTAGGAGGGCAGAGTGCAGGTGAGGGGCTGTCAGGAGGGGCAGAGTGACGCAATGCGGGTCCCTCCCCCAAACCCTGACAGCGGGTCCTGTGGAAAGCACTGGCCAGAGAGGACAACCACCAAGTCCCAACTCAGAGGAGGCCAGAGGGACCTCAGGAACAGGGGCCCAGCCTGTTGTCCTGCCAACGGGGAAAGGGAGGCCCTGAGAGAGACACGGAGGATGGGGCGAGCTGGGGCCAGAGCCAGTTCCGGCTTCTAGTCCAGGACCCGCCAGTGAGGCCTCATGGGGAAGGGCCGCAGGCCCTCGTGACACGCAGGAGCCGCCCCAACGCGGTGGGAGCCATAGGAGGACCCTGGGCTGATGAAGCCGGTGCGTCAGGGATAGCGAGTCCCCAGCCAAGGCCACGCGAGGAGGCAGTGACCTGCCACTGTGTCCCAGGCCCTGCCCAACCCCTTTAATCCTCACCACACTGACCCCTCCGTCTTCCAGAGGAGAAAGCTAAGCACAGGGCAGGCCCATGAACAGCCGAGTTAGTAATTGGCAAAGTTCGATTTGAACCGAGGCCGCAGGCCCCCCTCCGAGGGCCGAGGGGCTGAGGCTGGTGGGGTGACTGTTTCTCCAGGGGTCCCAGGGACCTGACCTCCCACTGTCCACACAGCAGGCGCGCCCCTCCGGGCGGCTGCCAGAGCGAGCAGGTCTATTCCAGGGACCTCCCTCCAGGGCCACCCACAGTGTTGCCGGTGGTCTGTTTGAGACCAGGTCCGGGGCCTGGTCTCCTGAGTTCCAAGTCTCAGAAAGGAAATGATGCTCACAGGGTGCAGTGAGCATGTAGCTTCTGATCTTAGTTCCAACCTCCCTGGTGCTGGGCTCCCCATTTCCTCCAAGGCACATTGCCCCCCATCCCTGCCCCTGTCCCCCCTGTTCTCACCGGCCCCTCCAGAGAACACACAAAACACACAACTGTGCTGTCTCCTGGCAAACAGTCACCCACAGAGGCTAGAAGTTACTTCTCTCCATGCCTGTTTCCGACCCTCAGCAAGCGACGGGCTAGGTTTATTTTCTTTTTGGTTACAAAGAGAGGCCCAGCTGGGTGCTCCAGGTTGAGCACCAACCTATGAATCAGGAGGATCCTGGCCAGGGCACATGCCCAGTTGTGGGCTCGATCAGTAGTGTGGGGCGTGCAGGGGGTAGCCAGTCAATGGTTTCCTCTCATCATTGATGTTTCTATCTCTCCCTCTCCCGTTCTCTCAGAAATCAATAAACATCTATCTATATATATATATAAAAACCTAAGTGACCTTTATGACCAGATGACAGGTCAACAGGTAGCTATGACACACACTGACCACCAGGGGGCAGGCACTTAACACAGGAGCTCCCCCCGGTGGTCAGTGCGCTCCCAGAGCGGGTGTGCCGATCAGCCGGAAGCCAGGCTCACAGCTGGTGAGCACTGCTGTGGCGGCCTGAGACTCTCCCGCCTCCACGGCAGTGCTACCGAGCAGCGGTGGCAGCAGCGGCAGGCACAGCGGGGCTGGACCAGGATGAGCTGGAGCAGCATGATGCCCGGTCCCAGCTCGGGCTCCTCCCTGGACGCCTGCAGCTTCACACACTGCTACATCCCTCGGGGGATGTCGGACTGCCGGATACCCAGGGATCGGGCCGAAACTGGCAGTCCAACATCCCCTGAGGGGTACCGGATTGTGAGAGGGCACAGGCCAGGCTGAGGGACCCTACCAGTGCACAAATCCATGCACCGGGCCTCTAGTATATTTAAGGAAGAGAGAGAGAGAGAGGAAGGAAGGAAGGAAGGATCGCTCTAAGCAGAGACATTGCCTCCCTGACCGTTGGAGCCCCACAGGTCAAATTCAGTCACCCCCTTTCCCTGGGAGTGGCCAAGAAAGGAAGGAAGGAAGGAAGGAAGGAAGGAAGGAAGGAAGGAAGGGAGGAAGGAAGGAAGGAAGGATCGCTCTAAGCAGAGACATTTCCTCCCTGACCGTTGGACCCACAGTCCCCTGGGGCAGTCCCTGCCTCTCAGACCTGTCCCTCCCCAGCAGCCAGGAGGCAATCACCCCAGACCTTCCCTGGCTCCTGGTGCCCTGGACCACGTCCAGGTGCTGCACGGCGCCCGCGCCCTCTGCCAGCGGCCAGCCCCATGCTTCCTCCACGCCAGGGACCGGGCTCTGACTTCCCTGGAAACACTGCCCTCCTTCACGCTTCCCTTTCACACCTTCCCCCGTGACTTTGCTTCAAACTGGGAAGCGAGTTCACCTCCCGCACCTGGGGCCTCCCACGTACCCGGCAGATGCCAGCTGATAAGGCGTCGCCTGGGTGACGGCCCGCCACTGCCTGTGCCCACACTCAGCCCCGCCCGTCGCCTCCACAGGACGGAGTCCGCATGGCACAGGGGCCGGAGCGGGCTCCAGTGCCCCCAGCTGGCCTGGGCAGCGTGGCTAACCTCCCAGCGCCTCGTGTCGCCTGTAAATGGGGACAATAGTGGAACACCACCCTTTCGCTGCTGGGAGGTTAGCTCACTCGCAGTATGAAGCTCACTGCAGCGCCCGCACAGTCGGTTCTCCACACGTCAGCTGCTATTCTTTTCTTTCCTTTATTATCATTTTTAGTCCTCACCTAAGGATATTTTTTCTATTGATTTTTAGAGAGAAACATCAGTGTGAGAGAGACACATCTATTGGTTGCCTCCTGCATGAGCCCCAATCAAACCCAAGCCAGGGAGGAGCCTGCAACCAAGGTACGTGCCCTTGACTGGAATCGAACCTGGGACCCTTGGTCCACAGGCCGACGCTCTATCTACTGAGCCAAACCGGCCAGGGGTTAGCTGCTGTTCTTATCATTATTATTGCTGCTGTCACAGCGTTTCAGTGCTGGGCTGCTATTATTTGTCTTGTGCCTAAGTCCCTCCAGAGGTTCCGAGGAACTGATTTTTTTTTAAAAAAAATATGTTTTTAATAATTTCAGAGAGGAAGGGAGAGGGAGAGGGAGGGGGAGGGGGAGAGGGAGAGGGAGAATCATAGATCAGCTGCCTCCTGCACGCCCCCTACTGGGGATCGGGCATGTGCCCTGATCAGGAATTGAACCGTGACCTCCAGGTTCATAGGTGGACACTCAACCACGGAGCCACGCCAGCCGGGCCGATTCCTATTTGCCTCAGCATCCCTGGCCCCAGACACCATGTGGCACCCGGTGGGCACTCACGGGTGTCTGCAGGAGGAAGGAAGGCACTGTCCCCGCCCGCCGTGTCGGGGTCCCCCCCCAGCAGCAGACACCTGCAGTGGGATTGAGCGGGGACCAGACTCCACGGCGGGCTTCACCTAGCACCACCCAGATTTTGGTGAGCGCGCCAGTGACCGCAGAGCCAAGTCAGGAGCAACTCCAGGGCAGCCACGCCTCAGCATCCCTGGCCCCAGACATCATGTGGCACCTGGTGGGCACTCACGGGCGTCTGCAGGAGGAAGGAAGGCACTGTCCCC